GGCATCTACATCAGATTGCTTTCATTTTATTATTGAACTTTGCGTTAAACTAATTCTATTATGACCTAGGGCATACAGAGATACTACTTTCAGTGAGGATTTTAAAATCCAAAAAATGTTGTCTGGCCAAAGAAACTTTTGATCAGACATGTATGCTACCCTCATTTTAATTGACATACTGGTACATTGCACATGTAATAAGCACTTTTTGGCTGAACATAATGTGAGATAAGAGACACTTTCTACTAGCCAAATTAAGTAAATGGACAGGAAAATGGCTGGTGTAAGACTGTTATAATCCCTACCAGACTTGGGTCAAATACAACGCGGAAGTATTTAAATACAAATACAAATACTGTACAAAAACAAAAATACAAATACAAATACTGTTTTCAGCTTTGTATTTAAATACAATTACAAATACTGCATACATGTATTTCAATTACAAATACAAATACTTTCTTCTCAAGTATAGACAGTTATTAACTATGTAGTTTTATGAATTAATCAATCAAGTAAATTGAAAGCCTCTTTTTATTATACATGCATGTATAATCAATAATATTCAGTTATAGTCATGTATTGCATTTAATGAACGTTAGTGTTTCAAAGTTTTGTCACTCAAACAGCATCTTCATTCACATTGAAGTATTTTAAAGTATTTTGCTGTATTTTAAAATACTTCCCTGCCGTATTTCAATTGCAAATACAAATACTTCCTGTTAAAAAAACTCAAATTACAAATACAAATACAAATACTTTCAAAAGTATTTAAATACGACTAATTACAAATACTATTTGTATTTGACCCAAGTCTGATCCCTACTGAGTGATAACGATGACTATTGCAAGTTGCAACAGAGTGTATGGTAGCAGGGATAAACTAGTATTTGTTATCACTGATAGATGGATAAAAAGTACTTCTATTATGAGCATCATAAAAATTTGTACTTTGCAAGAGAATGTCACGGTGACATTGGACTTGGGTGCATTTTTTCTAGAGACAATTGTCCAGTGATATTAGATTAACTTACCCCAGTCTTGAACCGAGTCTTGAACAACCGGTATTGAATCTAACTTCTCAACTACAGCATTCTCATTCATGGATTTAAGAGCATCTGACAGTGAGTTAAAGGTAGCTCCTCCTTTACTGTCAACACTATCAGCTCTGGACAACCACTTGGAGAGGAATTCAGTTAAACAATCATCTGTTGTGTCATTGTCCCTTTTAATGGCGTCCAGTGTGTCCTTATGTAGTCCTACTGTCAGTCCCAGCTCATACCATCTTGTCTGAGGGAAACCACATCTCTCCAATAGATCAGCAACATAAAACAGTTGATCTAAACAAAAGAAAACATGTATAATTGTTATAATAATTGTATAGATAGTCAATGAATACCTATTGTCAGCTGAGAAGATGAGAGAAGAAGTTCAGTAGGTAAATTTTTAGATGCAGCCATAGTGGATGCAGAACTAAAATTAGCATACTTAGGGAAGGGCTAGTCAGGAGTCATATTATGAGACTATAATGAGTTAACCCACAATATGGCGGGAGATACTACTACATGTATCTTTGATGCATTTAATGTTCTTAATTTCTTTTTCATTTTTATTAATTTATTTATTAAACAGGTTGATAGGTCTCTTAAAGAATTTGATGGTGGTGGATTATTATCAGTTAGTAGCATATTTATACTTTATTGTTCTCATCTCTCTCCTCCTATCCTTTTTTATTTTTCTCTCTTGTCCATATCAATGTTAAATATAATTAATCTATTCCTGAGGTCAATCCTTATCGGGCTAGTAGCCTATTTTTTTCTACAGCCACCTGATCATCAGTCACCTATACAATTTCAAAGTAAGACTATTATGATTTTATATTTGTATATAATTATGTGTATGTTTGTATTCATAGGTTGTTCAGTGTGTTCTAATTTATGATATCATTTGCAAGTTATTGGATAGTTTAACTGAGAGAGATCTGGATCTACTGGTACTGATATTGAAGAGTAAGTTCAATGCACACACGACCAATGACAGACCATCACTGCTATTATAATTCTTTTATCATATAGCGAAAAATTTTGGAGGGAGTTAAATTGAAACAAATTGCTAAATTTTGGTAATTGATGTCCTTGTGCTGTGTAGAAGTTTGAGGTGATTCCAACTTCCATTTTTCAAGTTAGGGCCATTTTTAATAAATGCCCAATTTTTGAAAAATACCCAAGGCTATAGCCCATGGTTTTTCCCAAAAAATGGCTCCGAAATCACCTCAAATTTTTATTGCATTTTCTGATACTTATTGATGTCCTTATGCTGTGTAGAAAGTTTAAGGTGATTCCGACTTCAATTTTTTAAGTTACGGGTGTTTTTAATGAATGGCTAATTTTTGAAAAATACCCAAGGCTATAGTCTATGGTTTTTTCCAAAAAATGGCTCCAAAATCACACCCAGTTTTTATTGCATTTTCTGATACATATTGATGTCCTTATGCTGTGTAGAAAGTTTGAGGTGATTCCAACTTCTATTTTTCAAGTTACAGTCGTTTTTAATAAATGGCCAATTTTTCAATAATACCCAAGGCTATAGTCCATGGTTTTTTCAAAAAATGGCTCCAAAATCACTCCAAATTTTTATTGCATTTTCTGATACATATTGATGTCCTTATGCTGTGTAGAAAGTTTGAGGTGATTCCGACTTCAATTTTTCAAGTTACGGGCGTTTTTAATGAATGGCTAATTTTTGAAAAATACCCAAGGCTATAGCCCATGATTTTCCAAGAAATAGCTCCAAATTTACCCCAGATTTTATTACATTTTCAGGTGTATACCTTGATGTCCTTATGCTAAGTAGAAAGCTTTTTTAAAAATTTAAGAAAAAGCAACAGCTATAACCAATAGTATTTAAAAAAATTGACCCCAATTTTCAGTACAAAATTGGCTATAAAACTGAAATATTTGTAATCTAAAAT